CCGTTACACCACCCGCGCCAAGTCCTGAGCCAAATCCAGCGAGCTACGCTGATGCAGTCCGTCGTCCTCCACCATTATTTGTGGCGACGCCCTTCCAGCCACGGCCCGCTGTCGTACCTTGGTGGCAACGGGATTCCATAACACGACCAGCAGTTCGCCGAACTGACTTATGGCACGTGGCCGACTGTCGACCTATTTGCTTCCGCTGTAGAGAACCAGGTCACATTGCCTGCTATTGCCGTCATGGCGATTCCTGGTTCGGCAACTTTTCTCGTCCCGCTTCTTTCCACTCTGAAGACCATTGCGCCCACGATGCCGATCAACTGTCGACTGGCCAAGCAACTACACTGCGCTGCTGGCGATCTCTATCCTGCGCGTCACCGTGACTTCCTTCAGAGCTACGCGGACCTCACCAGAGGCCGTTTGCCTAGCTCGCGCCGGGGAAACTAACTGCTGCGACCTCTGGGGGCAAGGTTGCCAATCGTCGAGACACCGAAAAGTTCCTTCTATCATCGCAAGAAAATACGATGACAACCACGACGAATACGACGACGAATACTAATGCCAATGAAGTTGTACGTGCTGGTCTTGGCGTTCTCATTTACGGACATCACGTTACAGCACTGGCCGACACTGGCGCCGACTTCTCAATCATGCGACAAGAGCTCTCCGACCGCCTTAGAAAGGTCAAGACACCGTGGACAGGGCCGCACATAAGGAGTGCTGGTGGGCAGCTGATGACTCCCACGGGTAAATGCACCACTCGACTTCGCATTGGGGATTCTAGCTTTGTGGCCACTTTCGTCCTATTGCCAGACTGCTGCAAAGAGCTAATTTTGGGCATAGATTTTCTTCAAGATCATGGCACTGTTATCAACATCCCTCAATCTATGGTGACGTTTTGCGCGCATCCGTATGTCGACAACAGCAGCGACGAACTACGCGGTCGTTTGCGAATAGCCGACGATGTGACGCTCCCACCGAGATCCTGCTGCCTTGTGTCGGTGTCTAGTGGGTGGCCTTGCTATAAAGATGTGATAGCTGAGCACATAGTCGCTCTTTTGCTCACGCAAGGCATTTCCATCGCGAGAGGCATCCTGGCGCTTACTGGTGTACAGGCAGAAGTGCTCCGCACGAACTTCAACAACGAGCGCCATCAAATCCAGAAGGGTACCACGATTGCCTACTACGACGATATAGACCAAGCCGGGGATTGCTTTGCTTTGCAACCAGACGACGCGACTGTCCCTGCCTCGACAACTTTTCCGGTAGACATCTGCTCTACGCTACCGCCCTCTGATAAGAAGTGCCTGCTTGAACTTGTACACCGATTCGAAGACTGTTTTTCCCGTACGTAAAAGGTCCAGCAAACACCATTGACCAAGCACCGCATCATTACTGAAGACAACACGCGACCGATTCGGCAGAACCCCTACCGTGTGGCTCTGAAAGAACGCGAGGAGATTCAGAAGCAAGTACAGAAGATGCTCGCGGATGACGTCATACAACCTTCGAAAAGTCCTTGGGCGTCCCTCGTGACTTTAGTCAAGAAAAAAGACGGCAGCTTGCGCTTCTGTATTGATTATTGCAGGTTGAACCAAGTCACGAAGAAAGACGTCTATCCACTGCCTCGCATAGATCATTCACTTGATCAGCTTCGTCATGTGCGCTATTTCTCTTCAATGGACCTCCGAAGCGGCTACTGGCATATAGAGGTCGACGAGAGAGATCGTAAAAAAATGGCCTTTGTGACACCCGATAGCCTCTACGAATTTAAGGTGCTTCCTTTTGGGTTGTGCTCGGCGCCAGCCACTTTTCAGCGTCTCATGGACACCGTACTATTAGGCCTGAAATGGCAAACATGCTTGGTCTATCTGGACGATGTTATTGTATTCTCAGCATCATTCGAGGAACGTCTCAGCCGCCTATTCATCGTCCTCGAAGCCATACGCTCGGCCGGCCTCACTTTAAAACCGGAAAAATGTTGTTTTGGTTTCAACGAACTCAGCTTCCTAGGCCATGTCGTCAGTCACGAGGGTGTTCAACCTGACCCGGCCAAAATAGACGCCGTAGCGCTATTCCCTGCACCACGTGACAAAAAGGCTGTGAGACGTTTCTTAAGGTTGTGCGCTTATTACCGGAGATTTATTGAGGACTTTTCGTCTATTGCGGCGCCACTGACACGACTTACATGTGAGGACGTCCCCTTCTTTTGGGGTGAACAGGAGCAAATGGCATTCAATCAACTACGACGACGCCTGCAAACACCTCCAGTCCTTGCGCACTTCGACCAGGACGCCCCTAGAGTACTTCACACTGACGCCAGCAATGTAGGTCTGGGTGCCGTTCTGGTGCAGTGGCAAGACCGTTGTGAAAGAGTAATAGCCTACACCAGCAGAACTCTCTCTCGCACGGAGGAGAACTACTCGACTACTGAGAAGGAATGTCTCACCGTGGTGTGGGCAGTCATCAAATTTCATCCGTATTTGTATGGCCGCTCATTTAAGGTTGTTAGCGACCATCACTCTTTGTGCTGGCTCACCAACCTTAAAGATCCATCTGGCCGTTTGGCGCGTTGGAGCCTAAGGCTTCAAGAGTTCGACATGACCATCGTCTATAAATCTGGGAAGAGGCACACCGATGCCAACTGTCTCTCACCGACGCCAGTGGAAACTGTCACTTCCGATGACGAAAACATCGACGCGGCATTCTTGGGATTTTTTAGCACGGCCACGATTGCACAAGAGCAGCGCAGTGACCCTGAGCTTTTACCACTCATTGAATATTTAGAAGGACGACGTAAAGACGTGCCGCGGTTATTTGCAAGAGGACTGCCACCTTTTGCTTGCGAAACGATGTTCTCTATAAGAAAAACTTCTCACCAATCGGTAACCCGCACTTGCTCGTTGTGCCTGCTTCTCTTCGAAGAGAAATTATAGAAGCGTGCCTTGATGAAGCAACTTCTGGTCATCTAGGCTACACTCGAACATTGTGCCGACTACGATGCAAGTACTGTTGGCCAAAGTTACCTGCTGCTGTTAACCATCACGTGCGAACTTGCACCGACTGCCAAAGACGCAAAGCGCCTCTCAGCAAGCCAGCCGGTCTTTTACATCCAGTCGAAGCACCAGAAAAGCCGTTCACCCAGATTAGAATGGATTTCCTGGGTCCTTTTCCCACTTTCACAACAGGGAACAGATGGATTATTGTGGCCACTGATTATCTCTCCCATTATGCAGAGACTAAAGCTATGGAGTGCGGCACAGCAGCAGAAGCCGCTCAGTTCTTCATTGAAAACATCGTCCTTCGGCATGGCGCTCCGACAGCAGTGATCACAGACAGAGGACCTGCCTTCACCACAGAGCTTTTAGAGTCGGTTCTCCGACTCAGCGGTACAGCTCACCGGAGAACAACTGCAGAGAAACGGACTGATGGAGCGCCTCAATAGGACCATCACAGACATGATCAGCATGTACGTTGACACCGAACATAAAAACTGGGATCAGATATTGCCATACATGACCTTTGCCTATAACACCACTCGACAAGAAACCACTGGAATGACACCGTTCAGTCTGATCTATGGTCGCGAAGTCATGACAACGCTGGACGCCATGTTGCCGCACGAGTGTGACGACATCTATGCAGACGCGGAATAATTAAGTCAGCGCGCCGAAGAAGCCAGACAGCTCGCACGCGTGCGCATCTGTCATCAGCAGCAGCAAGATGCACAATGCTATGACACCCAACACAGGTTTACTAGCTACACCCCAGGCGACAAAGTCTGGGTCTGGGTTCCGATACGTCGACGTGGACTGTCTGAAAAACTGCTAAGACAGTACTTTGGCCCATACAGCGTCACGCGACGCTTGAACGACGTGAACTATGAAGTCGTTCTCGACACTGATTGTAGTTCTAAGCGCCAAAAGTATTTACCCAAAGTCGTGCACGTCGTGCATATGAAACTATATTTATCGAGTTAATTAGGTCCCGGTCACCGTTTTGGTACGACCACTTCATACATCTGGTAGAGCACCTAAGGTGTGCATCGGGACGATGCCTCTTTCGGGGGGAGGCAAATGTCCCGTGCTTGCTCAAGAAAGACGATGGTAGTTGTGCATGTGCCACGAAGGTTTACGAAATGAACGAAAAAGAAGAACTCGCTAGCGCTTTCTAATTAAAAGATCGACCTGCTTCTGGTGTCTCAATCTCTGCGACAAGACCTCTGTTTTGACGTGACTATATTATGTGCCTTACAAACAAAAACACCATTGAACATCTGTTATTATGTCGCTGTATAGCTTAGTTTTCACATGACGTCACACACAGGCACTTCAGTTTGGGTACATCACGATGGCGGCCACCTGGACTTTTAGTGTCGGTGCAAGATAGGATACCACAGGGTCATTCGGTAAGTGTATTGTTTTGTGCTCGTCCCGCTTTTTCCTGTTCGCCAGTCACGCCAAAGGGGAGGAGCACAAAGAAACCCGAGGGTGCATGGGCACTAATCATATGTCACGCAAGCGACCACGAAACGCGTGGAGTTATACATTTTGTTGGCCGAACTTCTTGCATAGCTTCCACAGCGTTGCACCTGATGTATGAAAAGGAGTATATAAGTAATTGTAATGTAAATGCAAAGAAATGATTGTGTAGGGAAAGATTACTTGCCATGGGCAGGATTCATACCTGGGACCTTTGACTTTCTAATGAAAGTCATGTGATAAGTCATGCAAGTCTTTTGAAAATGACATGTTCTAATGCAAGTCAAGTCATTTCATTACATTGTTTCAAAAGGCCTCCAAGCGTACCTTAGGGCAACCTCACTGTCTTCCATGTGTGCATTTTCAATGCAGTTTCTTTATGACATATTAAGAGATTTTTTTTCATATGCACAAAAGACCATAACATGTGTGCTCGAATGCCAATGCCAACATTGTCCTCTCAAACAGGCAACCAAAACGGTAGGTAATTAGCTGTTTCAGATTGAGACCACTCACTTTGGCCGGGCCTCATCTCGAAAGGCGTAAGGAACCACATTGCCTCGCGGTTGAGTGTAGTTGTAATACCGGGATGGTGACAATGTCAAAGGTGGAGGGTCCTCGACATGAGGTGCTGTTAGGGCCACCGACATGGCAATGCTGACAAAAAAGGCCGGCAGCAAGATCTGTGAAAAGAGGCCCTTCCAGTTGCGTCGGGTGCAGTAGTAGCGCTTAAGCAGGATGGCACTCAGCTGCTGCACCAGCAGTAACTTTCCTTCCACCCGGCGACCATTGCCCACCCAGCTGCCACCAGCTGTTGGCTCCTCCCCTGTGGACAAAGCCAACAAGGCATTCAGCACAGTACACAGATGTATGGAAAGAGCAGCGAAGTGTTGGACAGAACATTGCATAGGCATACGTTGTGGGGGTGCTCACATCCCCTATAAAGTCATTTGCACCTTGTGGTACACACCTGTTTTATGCATAGGCAGCATTTAGGGTTCCCAACTATCGAGCGGCAGGTGGCGTTGTGCTCATAAGCATTTATTACCATCATCATCATGGTTAGCGCGGTAGTGCCTGCAGTGACACCTGGCGGCACATGAGAGATGAGCAGTTCTCTTTGGCACATGGTGGTTGGCGCAAAGGTTGTCTTTTGGGGTGGGTTCATGGTGGCTGCCATCGCGGGTTGTCTGCCGTGGGCCCTCATGGTGACTCGAGCGTTTGCGCCGCCGCTTTGTGTTTGTTATGTTATTGAGTGTTGTAGAATATTGTGTAAGGTTGTTTTAGCATGTTGATTCCAACTGATGTATAGTATTTCAATTCGGCAGATGATATCGTCGTTCTAAAAAGTAATTGAATAAATGTGTTGTTTGGGTTGGTTCGACGTCTGCTGTGTCCATGTGTTCTGAGAGCGGTGATCTCATTCCAAGACCCGAGAAAGTTCTATACTATACCATAATGTTCTGGCTTTATCACTTTTTGTATTCCCTAGCCCAACGATGATTGGGTGAAATAGTGAACCAGGGTGCCTCAATGTTTACTCAAGTGTTGTCAAGAATGCAATAAGCAATTGCTCGATTGCTTCACAGAACAAGGACATAAAGACAGACGATCAGTACAAAAGATAGTAGCAGCTTTGACTGTCTCTAGTATTGGTATTATGTATTTTACGCTGTTATTATGCGAAATATGTGTACCAACTCGCCTAAGCAACCATTTTAGCTAAATTTACTTTGGTTGAATGCATAGTGTGTGATAACAACCATGTGGCACAGTGCTTATATAATTTAGCTGTTTCAGCCTTTAAAGCCAATTTGAAACCTTTAGCACATTCATTAGCATTGTGATAATACCAGTGTCAGCTGTGCATAAGAGCCATTTTAGGTGCAAACTATCTGAGATAACAAAGCCATTAAAATGTTCATCGTTGTTTCTATAAAAAGGTAAATACAGATGATTTGCCACCCATGATGTGCTTACAGCAGCAAAAGTGCTGCAGCTCATCAAGGAACTTCCAGCGTACACCTATAAAGAGCCAGAGCTAAGCTTGAATGACATCACAAGTACTCAGCAGTCCCTTTCAACCTCCTCTTATAAATGAAGGCCACCACTTAGATCTTCACTGTGGTGCCATTAGGTGCTTGAAGGTATACTAGGAAATTAGAATTTGTCACACTTATTACCACTTCCCTAACTACGACAATAATCAGGCACTACTCACAATACAACTGCAGGGCAAGTATTCCTTCACACCATGAGTGAATCATCACAAAAAAGCTTCCTCTCACCAGTTAATGTTCTGCAAATTACAATATCACTGAGAATGAGTATCAAGCAGGTTGCAATAATATGGCTGCGTAATTATAGGTATGATGCTGGTCAGCCTGAAAACACTGGCTACACCCTCGCAGTACCCAAAAACATGACAAAGTTCAAACAGGGCTTGGAAACTACAGTGCAAATGCTGATCTTGCCATCAAGAGACTTGGTCAAAAGCAAAATAAATAGAGAACTGAGGTTCAGAAGCGGGCGGCCAGCAATCAAATAGGCATCTAAGACCGAGGAAGAAGGAGCTTTCCTCATATATGAGAAAGTGACGGGTAGACTAGACGATCTTTGAAGTGCCACTTAAGGGTGTTTGCAAAGCCATGGAAGCAAGTTGCTGCAATAAAAACAACCAATGCATGCCAGTGTCAGCAGATGAAATTGTAGCTTCCTAGTATAAAGAGGCACCCCAAGCAGTATCCCTACTGAAGCCTGGCTCGAAGTTTCACGACCAGAGAACAAGCATCGGGGGACTATATACCAAGTAACCACTGATATCTGCTGGCTGTACATTATGAATACAAATATCCGGTCATTTGTATATCCAACATGGATAGCCAATGGACTTACTATAAACATCTATGTCCCTTGTGGCCGTTTTCTAGATGCCTGAACTGGATGTCCGACCGGACTTTCAGTTATGAATGTTGGCTGGCTGTCCATATAAGGACATGCCAAGGATATGTGCATTTGCTCATCAATTATTCTAAAATTAGAATGTAGTGAAAAAAAATATATATATATATATCTGCCGAATCCCGGGTGACAATCTTATAAAATTTGATGAAGAATGGTACTATAAAATTCATTTAAATTTTGGCGCGTGCATTTGACACCAGGATGCCAAATATTTTTTATTGATATGTGAGGTTTAACGTCCCAAAACCACCATATGATTACGAGAGACGCCGTAGTGAAGAACTCCGGAAATTTTGACCACCTGGGGTTCTTGAATGTGCTCCCAAATTTGAGCACGTGGGCCTACAGCATTTCCGCCTCCATCGGAAATGCAGCCGCTACAGCCGGGATTCGATTCCGCGACCTGCGGGTCAGCAGCTGAGTACCTTAGCCACTAGACCACCGCGGCGGGGCGATGCCAAATATTTTTGCCTCCTGAGGCAAAACAATCTGGTTGATTTAATTGTATTGCATGTAATACGAAACAATGTGTTTTGTATTATTAATATCGCATGTGAACTACGACAAAAATGAGAATAGAGCAGGTCATTTATCATGTAGGCGAAATTCTATCCGCCAGCCTCAACACTTCTCAACAAGCGGTGCACTGCAGTTGCTCAGATTTCTCGAACCTACACTTCATGCTAGTCGTGCCCCTCAGTATGTGTTGAGAGAAAATGCACACCTTTGTGCCTATTGTCCCAAAACTTGCTTGACCAGCTGCGTGCACTGAGGGAAATAGCAGGGGAAAGGAGGGTGTTCGTGTCGCGACAGCCAGTCTCCCAGCGGCAGAAGGCCGATTTTTTTTTTTCAAGTGCGCCCATGTGGACCAGCAACATGTGAAGTTACAAAGAATGACTTTTCTACATGACACATGCAAAACGCGGAACGAGCCCTCCACTGTTTTCGACAGAGATTACCGCAGCAAGCAGCAGCGACCCTGCTCACTCCCACGGCAGAGATAAGGCCACGTGTTACATCCGTTCTTTACGTCTTATTGCACATTAGTCTATTCTTACCATGCGTTAACTATTGTACATCCTTTGTATAAGCCCTGCTAATATGTAACATATATATATATATTGTTACGGATGTGATGGGTTTATTTACACTGAAAATGCCAGCGCTCAACCGTCACTGCCGAATCACCATCGCTCGAGAGCGTCCTATCTCCTCCTCTTTCTCGCTCTTTGATTCCGCGTTACATTTTCCTCTGGGTAAGACGAAGCTCACCGAGCGAGTAGAAGCGATCGGTTGTTGCAGGGCTTCAATCGGGCAATGTGCACAATTTGCATCTTACGCGAACGCCGGTTCTGAGCTGTCACTTTCGCTACAGCATAAGTGACGTCACTCAAACACTGAGTAATGACGAATGGTCCTGAGTACTTGGAAAGAAGCTTCTGGCAAAACCTCTTCTTTCGAACGGGTGTCCACAGCCAGACGAAATCACATGTAGCGAAAGTCACAGGCAGGTGTTTTGCATTGTAACGGTCTTTCGCCCGAGCGTGGGCGTAGAGAGTACGGAGCCGAGCAAGTCGACAAGCTTCTTCGACGCAATACAAAGTCTGCAAGACACTGGCGCTTTTGTTCATCGAAAGAGGAAGTAAGGTGTCAAGAAAACTTTGGGGATGACGAGAATAGAGGAGAAAGAAAGGCGTATAACCTGTGACCTCGTGTTTTGCGGTATTAAAGGCGTATGTAACAAAAGGTAATACAGCATCCCAGTTCTTGTGATCCACCGCAACGTACATTGAAAGCATGTTGACGATGGTACGATTGGTGCGCTCAGTGAGGCCATTGGTCTGAGGGTGGTATGGCGTAGAATGCCGATACTGGCGCCCACAAAGCCGTAGCAACTCTTCAACAATGTCAGCGGTAAACTGCCGGCTGCGATCACTTATCACCACACGAGGGGCCCCGTGACAGAGTATAATCGAGTGCAGAAGAAACCATGACACATCAGATGATGTGGCTGAAGCAACCACCATCGTTTTAGTATACCTTGTCAGGCAATCTACGCATACAATAATTCAGCCGCGGCTGGTGGTAGACTTGGGGAAAGGGCCCAGTAAATCTATGCCGACTTTTTCGAATGGTGATGTCGGTGGCTTAACCGGTTGCAGATGGCCGGCCAATGACGTGGTAGGTGGTTTGTGGCGTTGGCAGACAACACAACTTGCGACGTAGCGCTTGGTGGTCTTCCAGAGTCGAGGCAAGTAAAAACGTTGTCGGATACGGTAAAGCGTTCGGGCAAATCCAAGGTGCCCAGAAGTGATGTCATCGTGCATGACTTGGAATACTGCGAGACGCAGCCATTCTGGCACGACAAGGAGTAGTGTGGAACCATGGCTGGAGTAATTCTTGCGATATAATAGGGTGTCATGAATCACGAATGGCGCGGCGCGTTTGGAGCTACGAGCCACATCGATCATTGGTTTCAGCGAAGGGTTACGCTGTTGCTCATGACGGAAGATGTCCAAATTTGGGAAGTTGGAGGAGACTGCACCAGGTAGTTATCGAAATCATCATCATCAGCATCCACAGTCGCAGATGAAAGACGAGATAAGCAGTCAGCATCTGCGTGACATTGACCGCTCTTGTAGGACACAGAATAATTATATTCTTGAAGCCGTAAGGCCCAGCGAGCCAACCGACCAGCTGGGTCACGTAGTCCGACAAGCCAACAAAGCAAATGATGATCTGTGACGATCTTGAATTGCAGGCCGTACAAATAAGGTGTGAACTTTACAATGGCAAAAACAACCGCAAGACATTCCAGTTCGATGACCGTATAATTCCTCTCCGCCTTAGTCAAAGTACGAC